GAGCGGAGGAGGCAGCTGCTGCCAAACCCACAGGACAGAGCAGGGCGAGATGCCAGCACCGCAGCCCCCGCTTGGAGCTGCCCTGAGTCGTCCCCCTTACCTGGCAGGCCACGGCAATCTTCCAGGAGCTGCACAAGAGCCTGGGCGGGTAGTTACAGGCTGGCAGGGAGTCCCCACCGCTCGCAGCCCAGAGGGCCAGGGCAGCCAGCAGCCAGCAGCTCATGGTGCGATCAGCCTGGAGGGGAGCCAGAGTGAGCAGAGCTGGGGAAGGAGCTGGGACTTTCAAGGCTCTCTGGTCCCGCCCTCAGCTGCCTGCCTGCCCAACTCAGCCTGTTCTTCCTCCTCCAGCACCTGCCCCACCTTCCCGCTCAGCTCCTGCTGACACCCGGAACCACAACCCCAGCTGGGCACCGGAGAGGGGGACAGGGTCCAGGGGACAGAACGAGCCGTGCGCTGACCACCTCCTGCACGCACCTTTCGCTGTATGGGGGTAACGCCTCAAAACCCCGGGGAGGGGTCAGGGTGCTAGGTGCTGTACACCCCCCCCAAAGGAGCGCTCAGTCTACGTGTAGGACGAGGGCGAGCGGGTGAGGCAGAAGTGGGATGGAGGTGAAGGCAGCAGGCTGGCAGGGCCCAGGAGGGCAGGACAGTGATGTGGTGGAGACCGACAGGGAGGGGCTCCCTCGGTCCCAGGGCAGCATTGCCTGGAGCTGCCTGGCCCCCATTATGCCTGTTGAAATTAGCAGCAGTCCCCCTGGAGCGCTCTGATTCATAGATTCTAGGAGTGGAAGGGACCTCGAGAGGTCATCGAGTCCAGTCCCCTGCCCGCATGGCAGGACCAAATACTGTCTAGACCATCCCTGATAGACATTTATCTAACCTACTCTTAAATATCTCTGGAGATGGAGATTCCACAACCTCCCTGGGCAATTTATTCCAGTGTTTAACCACCCTGACAGTCAGGAACTTGTTCCTAACGTCCAAATGTCCTGAGACCAGGAGGCTCCTGGGCTGGGCTGGGGCCTGCTCAATGGGGGATTTGTCTACACAGGCGGGTACATCTACCTGTAACCCACCCCTGGGCAAACCCCATCCCTTTCTGCCTCCTCGGTGCTCCCAGGGCCACGGCAGCTTCCCAGGGCCAAGGCAGCCTTGGAGGCAGAAGCAGAGAGCTGGTGCCCCCCCCCCCCAGCTCATGGAATCCGTGCCCCAGAGGCTCTCAGCCCCCCCATGCTGCATATTGGGGGCAGGCTGGCAGCAGAGGGGTCTGCACAGCCATAGGCTCGGCCCCCCAATTCGATTAGGAACAAGGGGCCTCGGGCATTACCTGGCAGAGGCAGTTTTGAACTGGTGAGAAGTCGAGCGGTTCAGGATGTTTCCGGGGCAGAACAGCTTGTGTTGGCACCCTGGCCGTAGGCTCCCTGTGCGACTTGTCCAGCCCCCAGGCAGGCAGCTGTTGCTGAGGGCAGAGTGGAAAGCGCCAGGCGAGCCTGGGTGCAGGTCTATGCTGCGGTGGACACGGACACGCCCTGTGGTACGGCCGGTTCCATAGTTAAAATGCCACGAGTTACTGTCCCCAATGGTCATGGGGAGACTCTTCTACATGTGACCCTCACGCTGACCCAACAGCCCCCTGAACACTGCCCGAGGACACCAAGCCCCAGAAGTGCTGGCGCTTCCCATGGCACGTCACTGCGGCCAGCATTTTTCATGAGATTTGAGGAACTTCCCACTTCCCTTTTCCAGGGAAAAACCCAACAGCTGGCCACTTCCTGCCCTGTCAGGAGGGTCGGATTGTCACAAGCTTGTCTCCCTGGGGGCCACATCTCCGCCTGCTCACTAGGGAGAGCCTGGGGCCCCAGCAGCCCCCAGTTAGAGACCCAGGCCCTAATGTGCATGAGACTCAGTGACTTTCAGTGGGACTTGTGCTCCTGAATCCCTTGGGTGCTATGGGACATCCACCCCATCACAAGCTGGCTGGGCACAAGAGCTTTCCACTGCCACGGGGGCCTGGATCCACGTAACCCCATGCACTGCAGCCTCCTGTGGGCAGGCCTGGAGCTGCACGGCTGGACTCTGAGGGGAGGGTCTTTTCCCGGCAACTGACACCTTATAAACAACTGGGCAGGCGTCTCCCTGCCAGAAGCACCTGGAGCCCTGCAGAGGCGGTGGGTGCTGCCCGCCAGAGAGCGAGTGGTGGGGAACTCCCACACTGGGCCAGTTTTACCTGCGGTTCTCTGCAGCACAGGTAACCAGAGCTCCCCAGGGGGATAATTTAACCCTCGCTCTGGGGAAAAGGCAGGAGTCACAGAAAAAACTCTTGAAATGACAAGAACGTTTAAAAAGAATTAACCCCCCTCATCCAGCAGCTTCGTTCTTTCAGTTTATTTCTTCCTTTGTTTAAAGTACCGTACAAAAATGATCTGACAGTAACAAATCCTGGGCGTACGTTAGTAAACGTGCACAGAGAACGGCTTCTGCTAGCAGACAGAAGAAATGGCGATTAGAGTATTTATTATTGCATATCTCGTAAGAGCTAAAACCTCAGGAGTGCTCACTAGCCAAGTTCCTCTCGGACAGAGTGCAAATCCCGGCGCGTCAGCCAGCCCCCCTCAGCAGGCAGGGACCCGTGCAAGGAATTAGGCTCTGGTGTGCTCACAACCCAAACACGTTCTTTCCTCCAATGAAATTAGGCTGCAGGCTTAAAACAATCTGCCTCTTGACTAACACAGCCCAGAGCTTCCCGCAGAACCAGCAGAATTTCAGCATCCTGCACAAAGCCCCATGGTCCTGGGGCCAAGGGGGTTCTAGACCAGGGCTTCCTTTGCTGTCCCTCCCACCCAGGCTGTGACTCTGGGAATTTGGCCTGTGTGCTCCTGCCCCCGAGTGCTGCACAAACTATAATGGATGGAGCCAGGAAGCAGCAGGAGTGGCTCAGCTTCCCCCCTCCCCTTGTGACACTGCCCGCTCCCCACGCCCAAATCTCCTCTGCCCTGATGCCAGGGGAAGATGTGCACTTTTCTCCCCAACCAGTAACGCTGGCAGCGCAGTCACCAGGCCCCTGGCAGAGGCCCAATGGATGGAGGAGTGGAGAGAAACAAGGGAACCAGCAAAGGGCCTGGCCAGGAACCCGGCACTTGGTCTCAAATCAAAGCCCCATTTCAAGGAGATATGGTCAATTTCTTCCACCCCCACATGGCAGCCAAGACCAAAGGGGAAGGCTGGCTGGGGGCTATTTCATGTTGGGCAGCCTGGAGAACTAGCCGACTCCCTGGCTTGCAGCTTGACATTTGCCAGGTGGGACGAGGACACGCAGAAGATGGGCCTAGTAGCACAAGAGGTTCTGGTTCACACCTTGACCGACGTTGAAGGCAGAAGAGCACAACCAAGGGGGTCCAAAAATAGTGTTCTCACGGATTAATCCAGACGTAAACAGCAACAGCTAAAGCAAAGACCAAATCACAACCGGCTTATTCCAAAGGAGCCGCGTCATTAAAAAAAAAAGATTCAAGGGGCTTGTTCTTCCACCGGAAGAGGAGAAAAAGCCAAGTTTCTAAGAGCCAAGTCAGTCACCATCAGAGAAAATAACCAGGGGAGGGAAGGGGAGGGGTGGGTGTTTCTCTTCATTGCATACTGGATTGGAGGAAAGCAGAGCCTTCCCTCTGCAACAGGTACAGGATGCAGCCACAGACCACGTTTCCATCCTCAGTAGTGTTCTAACAACTCAGAAAGGGCAGTGCTATCAGACGCACAGAAGTAAAGCCATGTGTAACCACCGCTCAGAGCATTCACATGGAGCCATCTCAGCTCCCAGGGAGCAAAGGGGGAATTTCAAATTCCCCTGAGGAGAAGCAGACTTGGGTCAGGCAACAAGAGACCAGGCAAAGTGGGAAGAGGGCGAGACTCTCCCAAGGAGCTAGAATCGTCCATGCAGGGAGAGGTGGGTAAGCCCACCAGCGAGACGAGGGTGAGGCTAGAAGCAGAGGGGAGAGGTTTTCCGAATCGCAGCAGGATCCCAACACCCAATGCTGGTGGAGTTAACAAGGTGCTTCCAAACACGGGAGGAGACCTGCACAGCACGGCTGAGGAGCAAGGAGCCGGAACGCAGCATCCCCAGCTGTGAAATGGATGTAGTGTATGTAACACCTGCCAGCCCGTGTGCCTCTACCCACAGCCCAGGTACTGCACCCTACCCCCAAAATCCCACCGTCTGGCGGCACAGGCTTCAGACAGGGCACAGACAGGCACTGAGCCAAGTCGCCACATTGCGGTGTGGGGAAGGCCGGGCACAAGCAGCGAGGAACTAAGTGGCTAAGTATTAATACTAATATGTACAATAGAGGGGTCAATTTTTATGGCTTCATTTCTCAAAGAGCAAGTCCGCTTTTGGGGGAGCAGGTAGGGTTGCCCAGCTTCTCAGGGGGTCTCGTGTGCTTTGCTGTCTCCTGGCGCAGGGACATGGACTCCAGCCAGCCAAACGCTGGGGGTGAACTTCCTGACCAACTGAGTCACCATCTCCCAGGCCTCTCCTGAGGGAGAAAACCTCCCTGCGCCTCCCACCTACTGACAGCTGCCACGTTGGGCTAAACTCACTGAAGCGACTGGCCACAAACTCACTGGCTCTGCCCTTCATTGCCCAAATCCAAACCTCAGCATCCCCGTGCCGGGGGGCGAGTGGGTGTCGAAGGAGCCTTAGCCTGAAGCTAACCCCCTTCTTGCCCCCCCCCC